TTATTAACCCTAGATGACTCTTGCAATCTCTCAGGAATCTAATCCCTAACTCTCTTTGGATCACTTCCATACTTCAGCCCCCACCCTTATCCCACATATTTTGGAGATACCACACAATGCCTCCCAGCAAAAAACCTTCAGGAATTAACTTTTCTTTGCACTGTTGAACAAAGAGTGCACTTAATTAGTCATCTGATATACTTGCCAAAACTATTGCTTTTTTTTTTTTTCTTAATGACTTTGTTTCCTATTCTCTTTTACTACCTGGTCCCATTAGGAACAAAAAATATCTTTTTTTTTTTTTTTCCCAAATGTTTGGAAGAACAAAATTGTGCACAGGACTAGGTTTGGAGGATGCAATAGACATATAGCTTTGAAGGATGTTAGATTTCCAATTGCCTTCCTAACCAGCCTTTAAAATCTCTTGCAATGAGAGGGATACAAAGGCTACACTGATGCAATGTAGTGGAACAGTAATTACCCTCTTTTCTTTTATATTCTTTATTTGCACAATTTGATGGAATGGGTCCTTTTGCAAGGACAAGATTAACAGGAATACAGTAAGATCCAATATTCTATGAAGTGAGAGATTTTGATTTTTTTCCTCAGCAGTGTAGGAAATAGGGCATGTATGCAAGGATTAGCTCAACCCAATATGTGTCAGTTTATGAAAGATCTTTAAAGGGTGAATCCTGAAGTAGTTTGACACAAAAATGCTGTCAATAAGGTGAACATTAAGCAATTTACTTTTCAATTAGAATATATTTATTACTTACATGGGCAAAACGTTTACAGGAATATGTTGGAAGTCTTATTTTTCTCTAACTTGCCTTAAAAGCATATCTCACTATAATCTTATTCATGACTTCTATTCTTCAATAGCATTTTAAAACTAGAAGACAGTATGTCTTTTCAGATGGTGGGAATGATGGTGTTTTCTATGGTAGAAAACAGCTAAAATTGGAAACTGAAATGCTTGAATGTTCACCAAGATGAAACAAATTATTGGCGTCTCTTTATTTTGTAATTAGAATGTAAACATTGAAGCCTGTGAGAGATAAGAGTATGAGAAAATGAAAAATCAGATTTCTCTCATTGTGCTTGCTTCTGACCAGGTCAGAAAATGGCAAAAGCTATTTGTGGCCTGGCTGAGTAGGGAAAAAAACCAGTAAAGACCATGAAAAATTATTGATGGTGTCTGAAATATTGCCTAGTTGCCACAGATGTATCATGACATTTTTTCAGATGAGGGCAAGCACCTGCCTTATTCATCACTGCCACACCCCATAAACTCTGCTACTTAAAATCAGATTCCACAGTTTTTGACATAAAAGCAGTAGTAATTTTTGATTCTTGTAACTCTTTATATTGTTTCAAAAGCAAAATACAATACTGCAGAGGAATTAAAATAAACTCTCCCTGCTCACTCTGTATTCTGAAGTACTCATATCCCAGGACCTGAAGGGATGCTCAGCACAGGATTCTGCCTGTACTGTTCAATGCCTGAGGTTATGAATATTTATTAAGAACAAAGCCTATTTCATAATTTACTGCTTTCTCAATGAACAGATAAAAGTCTAGGAGCATAACTATAGTTCATGTGATAAGGAGAATTATGGCTACCAAGTTTCTACTATATTCCAAATTAAACCCCAGTATTTCCTGCAAATTTCAGTTTTCATCTTGCTTAGAAATATGGATAAGGCCTATCTTGTTCAGCTATTTTTCTGATTTTCTTATTTTATTTCCAATGGACAGGAAAGGGAAAAGGTTAAGATATGCCTTTATTGTAGGATTTAATGCTTTGACCATTATTCCAAAAATCACTTGTGACTTTTCCTTCAAAGTCCAACTGGCTCCTCAGTGACTGAACTCAAAAGGTCACTCAAGATCCTGTAGTAAGTCAGCTGTGTGCATTGATCCAGTTCATAAACTCGTACAAAATATGATTCAGTGTGCATGCTCCCATGAAATACATGATTAATTGTGTGGAAAGTCTTCACCCTGAAATTTGAACACTGCTGTGTGATGCAGGAAAGAATATTTTGTGTCTCTGTGGGCTAATAATTTATTTAGAACTTAGAGAAACAGCTGTTTGAGGACAGCAGATGACCATGGCTCATCCAGCCATGGGACATTAGCATTTCTAAAGAGGTGGAAGCAGTTTATATTCCAAAAAAGAATATAAACCTTCAAGTTGTTCTGTGAATAAAGAACTGGCACCAGTTTTGGGTAGGTATCCCTCTTTCCTAATGTAGTCCTGGGAGGAATTTGAGCTTTTTAAATGGAGAAAAAAACAAACAAACAAACAAAAAAAACGACAAAAAAAAAGAAATGGAGAGGTTGAGAGGAAGAAGTGTTTGTGCACAAACTGTACTTCTGCTTGCTGATAGAGAAATTGAAGAAAAAGCCCTTTACAGTCAGTACACAGAGTGAGAGGCCATGGGACATGATCCAAAAAAACCTTAGTGTGTTAGATTTTGTAATTTAATTTATTTTTAATTTGTATTTAATATATTATTTTTATATAAATATATATTTATATAAATTAAAACATATTTATTTTTTTACTTAATACCATTGTAAAACCTTGTGTATGTTTAGAATTGCTAATGAATAGTTTTATTTTCCCAATCCCTTTATGTAAGGTTTCTTCAGAATAAGAATGTTTAGAATTGCTAATGAATAGTTTTATTATTTTCCCAATCCCTTTATGTAAGTTCCTTCAGAATAAGAGTAATACACACAACTCTATTTTACTCAGTGAGATGATAAAATAGATACTAAACCAACTAAGAAACACCAAAGAAAAGGGAAATAATGGATAGTTAGGTAACTTTTATAGGCATCTAAGAAAATTCTTGTTGTTATGCAGAAGAGGTTCCTTTGTGAAGCTGGAAATACATGTATGGGCATTCATACATAAATTTATGTCTGAGACATTTGTGGTGATCAGAAATATATTTGACATAAAAATCATAAATGGGAAGAACAATAAAATATTATTTTCACATCTGAATTGTGGGAACAAAGACTTTTTTGAGGGTTTTTCTGTTTGTTTTCAACTCTCGCCTGTAGCCTGTAGCTCATCTCTCTGCTGTTTCTGTCCAACTCTCACTGTCTACACTACTCCTTGCTGCATCAGGTGGTCTATGCATATTGTATATTTTCTTGGGGATATAGCTGAAAATAATTCTATAATTGCAAGCTTAGAATATGCCATTCCACCCTCTGCCTTTGCTCTGTGTGTGCATTATATTCCAATTTTCCCTTGACTGCCAGAGTAATTTCTGTTGTTACTATGAGCAATGCATTAATTTCTCCCTTTAGATGAATTACTAGACACTCGCTAGACAGTGATGAGGGAAGGATATGAGTCTGTGCATCCACCAGGATTTGGGACCCCAGGGTTTATATCAGTATAAGAGGGGAAGAAGGTATGTTTCTGTCAGAGGGCACAGCATCAGGAGCTGCTATAATAGTTAAAAAGAAGTATTCATAACAGTGCTAGGTATAAGAGCTTTATATATATATATATAAAGCCAATAAAAAGCTGAGCCCTGGCTCTGGATGCAGAGAACCTGCACCTGACACAGGAATTTCTGCCAGCAGCACAATTTGGATTCCTCTGGAGTCAGGAAGTTCAAGCAGCTGCATGATGACTGCCTTAAATGCACACACTCTAAGGTGGGGGCTACTGTTGGTTCTCTTTCAGGTGTATCCAAGTAGGAGAAGTCAGTATTTGGGCATCTCTGTAGCCAAATTGTAGATCAGCCACAATCTACTGTACATTTCTCTACTTTTAAGTTAAATGCTGAACCCAAGAGCAGTGTATATACTTTGGAATGTACTTGCACAATAATGTTAGTACTCCCCAGTGAATATTTTGTTGACCTGTGTAATAGAGTATCTTTGATTTTTTTTTCCCTCTTTTTTCCTCATTTGTGGTGGATTTTTTTGTTTTGTTTAGGTTTTACACTCAAGAAATTATCCAGGCTAGTGGCCACTGCAGCTGCCAAGTCCACTCTGACCTGACAGAGAAAAATGCAGAGCTTTTGATGTTTGTAGATCCAGCTGTATCAAAGGAGCTCACTGTAATATATGTATATATGATGTATTAAAAGAAAGCAAAATTGTTCTCCTTCTTTCATCTTGTCATTACTAATTTTATCTGGTTTTATCAAAAATTAGCAAAATATGAACCTAGAAAGGATCATTTACTGCTTCTTTTTGAGAAGATGCCTCCTCAGGATAATAATTTAGAATTTTTTTTGCAGTCTGTAAAACCTACAGACAATAATACATTTTATTTGGCAATCTTTTATTTGAACTGAAGGAAAGTAAAATAAATATAATTTAAATGGAAATAAAAAGGAGAGAAAATGGTGGTCTGATGGGGTCTAATGGGGAAAGCAGACTAAATGGTTTGCTTTGGTTTAACTAAAATACTTTTCCTGAGTGTTCCTAAACAGCTGTCTGCTTGTGCTCTTTTCTGAGAACTTTTTGCCTTCCAGATTGGATATTGCATATTTAAATGACTGTTAAAAATGGAGCTGATTTAGAAATTCTTACCTTGAACAAAGAGTCGTAATTGATTCCATTCTCACTCATGGGTTTACCAGCTTCTTTTCTCTTTTTTAGCTCTTAGATGGCCAAGCTGCCAAAAGTACACATATAACACATCCTGTTTCTGGTTTTTGACAGTTAAATTACACACAACTAATATTTTGGCAAATATTAGGTTTTAAAACCTAGTGCATGTATCACCCCAGTCTAATATCTAAGTTAATTAAACAATAAAGAGAAATGGGGCACAGGGAGTAAAATCCTTTTTTTATTTTGTAAGGCCATTTCCTGTCTAAAAGTAATAAGCAACTATTCGGCCTTCTGGTCTGGAAATGATGTCACGTCTTTTATTTTATCTTTTGCTAGATTTTTAGTACATAAGTACATTAGCATTTATATGAGATTTTTGACTTGTATTTCTTCCTTTCTTGCAGTTCTCTTCTTCATGGCATGCTTTGAGCATCAGTTACAGCTGACGATAAGAACTCTGGTTTATTGTGAGCATTCCTTTCACAATTATATTCTGCAGTAAAAGGCAACAGTCATGGTAATCAGTTTGAGGTAAAGATGGGTGTTAAAAACATTGCATGTCCATTTTTTTGGGTTGACCACAAACCTTTTGTCAGATTAGGATTTAGAACTGTCTTTTTTTGAAAGACATGAGGTCGCTGGGAAAATAAATGTTTACAAATGTTTGTGTTCAAACAAAATGGAATACACAAACAGCTAAGCTATGCATCTTCCCTTGTTACTGCACACCACAGAAAGTAGACCTCACACTAGCAAAACAAGCAGGGAAAACCCATTGTTTCTTGGTTTGTTTAAATTTTATTTTATTAAATGGAAGAGAAAGAGCAGAAAGAAACTGAGCTTCTGGTAGATGATGAGGTAGCTATGCTGACCTGTTGCTGGCAAAGAACCAAGGAGTGCAGAGGTGGTGGCTCTGGACTTTTACTTTTTAAATTGCCTTAAAAATAGGGTTGTCTGGGGAGTTAATGCACCAGAATTGGTTATACTCACTCATCCTTAGTAAATTTAGACCTTTTATCTACAGGAGATCTGACCATCTGCATGGTTAGGTTTCTAGGAAACCTGGAAAAAGCTTTATAGACAAGCTGTTCCAAAAAGCCTGAATAAAAAACTGCCCTCATTTCTTGGAGGGAAGGATGAGCATTTCTATGCTGAAAAACTTTTAATCTTGTAAGTTTTGAATTCCAATTTTGTAGAGATGTAGAACTACAAACTTATGTTTGCATAAGCATTCTGATTTTGCATCAATTATGTTCTCTCTCTATAAATGGTTTTATATAAAATGACAATGTGAGAGTCCACAGCTCAATTTCATGTGTGTAGAATTGTGTCAACAGGATTTGGCAAATACTTGGATATATCCAAATATATGGTCTGAGGTTGCTTTAGTCTGATACCTGAGAGTTAGAGCTGCTGTAGGATAGGTAAGCACAGCACTGAAATCTATAGAGACAAACTTCTGTGTATCAAAAAAGGACAACATCCCATAGGAACAATGTTGATAACTCATTCTTCATCTTGAGGACACTGGAGAATATTTTGTAGTCAGTCTAAAGAATTGCTCTGTAAGGTCTGATGAAGATCCAGGATTTTTTCTGCTTTAAGCACCCCACAGGGCCAAACACATGCACAGAAAGATATTCTAATATCATGTCTTTTGGACATCAGGCACTCAGTATTAAGCACTGCAAAAACTGAGGCAGGAAAGACAGAGGAAAATATTTTACTATTGTATTTTTATATAAAAGGATATTATTTAATGTTGCATAACATAGTACTAAAGGGAGTCTTAAGGCTGTGCACTGGCGAAAGAGGGATCATTTTCCTCTGCATATTCTCATGGCTTTCCTGTTTCTGTGTATCTGAATATACCAGTGTCAATTTAGCCACTTTGCACGTCAAAAAGCATTTATTTTATTTTTCTAACTTCGTAAATATGTTCTCTGCATTGAGAATCTAGATCTGTATGAAATAGATAAATGGGTTCACATTGTCAAATTCAAACTAGACTCTTAAATAATGAATACCTCAATACTTAAGGTATCCTGAACTTCAAGGTATCCAGAACTATGGGGCATTAGCAGTACCTGCTCAGCTCCTCTGTGCTTAGATGGCATTTTGGAAGTGCCCTGGTCTTCCTTGAAGGTCTGTGGTGCCTGCATGTAGGATCAGATCCCATGAGATAGAAGTAGGTAAGATCTGCTGAGGACCTGAGCCTTGACATTTGTTGAAGAATACTGCTGTTGCAAGAAAAGCTGTACACACATTCTGATATGGATTAAGTGGTAAAATTGATTAAAGGCTTCTGACAGACCTGTTAGGATGTCATTGCATGCTTCAATTCTATTGGAAAATGTTAATGAATCTCACCAAGACATGGATTTGTTAGATTCCTTTCCTCATTTGAAGTTTTGAGTTATTCATGTTACTGCTGTCTGGATTTCCACTGATGTTACCTTGCAAGCAAGTAATTCCCAAAAGGTAACTGTAAGGGTGAATGAATATTGACATAATCTATATAAACATGAACTCTTCAGGAGGTGACTAGCAGGAAAATTCTATCTAGTTCTTGACCTGAATTGAGAACTTTTTCTGTTGAAGCTGATGAGGGACTGCTGCCATTTTCTCCATTGCTAACTTTGAGTCGAATCAGCAGCATGAGTGAAAATAAGAGCTTCAAGGATCTTTAGTAAAGATATTGCTATATATAAGAACTAGAATTCAATTAGTGTTTATGATATGGGATTTTGTAAGTTAGGTTATGAACTACTGTGACTAGAGAGTCTTTCACCAGAAAACTGTATTGGAGATTTCACAACGGTTTTGAAGTTGTTAAAATGTTTTTCAAAATGGAAAACCAGTTAGATTTTGTTTTAAGAAAGAAGCATAAGAAAAAAGACCTGTTTAAACAGTCTCTGCTCTAAGAATTTCTAAGGACTGTGAAGAGCTATATAGAATATGTAATTGAGAGAGGAAAAGGGCAAGCTTGAAAGTGGATAGACCCCATTTCATAGTTCTGGGAGCCACTGTAATGGGAATTCTGTTTGTGAAAAGGAGGATGATATATGGAAGAACAGGGCAGGAAAATCAGCTTCTTGTAAAAAAGAAATCTCAGCAGTAAAGAGACAACAACTGATATCAATATTGCACTTGGAAAAAGCCAACAAGCTTGGAGTCCATTGTGTAAAGATTTCTGGAATTATGGTAGAAATGTGTTGCCCCTCACCTGATGTTTCCCTAAAGACAAAGAACTTTTAATCTGAAAGATTGGCAATACAAGCTCATTTTCTTTCCTCTGTTTTTAGCCCTGGGAAGTGTATTCCAGAATCCTGGAATCAACCAGCTAAAGCTGAAACTGAAAGAGGTGAGAGTGGGAGGGATCATCTTTTTTGGTTTTATGTTTCTAAGGCAACCTTCAATGAATGAAGATGATTTAAAAAAATAAATCTTCTCTTATTATAATAAGTCTCATTCTTGCTTTTCAGAATAAAAAAAAAGGTGCCTAGTGCAGGGAAACTTCCTCATGGAGGGTAGAATTTAAATATTTTGGGTCCCATTAAAATAATGTAAAGCACAGCACAGAATGTTGGTAATAATGAGTACTGGAAAAATCCTTCCTTTGGATCACAGACTCTGTTCTGTGTTACCGAATGTACTTGCAGAGGACTACCAAAATCATCACCTCACCTTGCCAAGCCCCATGTTATTAAGTAGCAGATGCAGTACTAGAAATGAAAGAAAGAGCCATTAAGATTCTGTAAGGGTGAGAAATGCAGGCTCCATGCAGCAGCAGCTGCCAGCTGTTGCAGTCTTGTAGGACTGTAGTTGTAGGGGTGGTTTTGTAGACATTTCTGATCAGGTTATCATTAGGAGAGGGTGTTATGGATGGATTTCAGTGTACTATGTCATATCTTTAGATTTGCAGCATGACAAGTTCTAAATGAAATATGGTTGCTATAGGAAAACTAATACTTTTTGTATATCTTTGTAATATTCTGCAAGATTCCATTCTTTTATCAACAAAGATAACCCAAACAGTGCTAAAGATTGTGAACATGAGCAAGGAAAATTAATGGAAAATTAATTTACCAGACATTTTGAAAACAGAAGAAAATCATGGTGAGTGATGCAAATTTCTGCAGAATGCTACAGCATAAGCTATGCATTTTTCAAAAACCCAAATGCAGAGCATTCATTTGATGTCCCTCTTGTTAAAAGATTTGAAGGAATATTAAAACTGATGGACTGCAGTTAGCTCTGGACATATGCTGCAATTTCCTCAAGCCAATACACAAACCCAGTTTTTAATCTTAGCCTTTGTATCAGAATAGACCTGGAAAATTCCATTTTTCCAGGTCTGTTTCAGCATCTTCATTTGGAAAATCTGCCTTGCTCATAATCCAAGTACATTATGGTCACATTCTATGCTAATCCGGTGTCTGTTTTTGTCAGTTCAGTAACACAATGTACCAGCATCCATGTGTGTAGTTGAGGATGAGGATCCTTAGGCAAGGTAGAGGCCTAAGAGTTAGGCTTTTTTGTGCATATTATAGCATATGGCACTCCATCTCCCACAACATGCACAATTATATTTTTCTGTAAGGAAGATACTAGAATTAAATGTCTAAATCTGCATTTAAATTTACAATTGCATAAGAGATGCATATATCAGAGATGTTTATTAGCAGTAACCAGGTTTTGCTCAGCTTGTTAAATCAAAGCTCTGCAATCTCTGCAGTTTGCCCATGTCCCTGCTCCCCTCTCTGGAGCCTAGCTACCTGTCCCAGTCTTGCTTGGGACTGGTTTCTCTGCTGGAGTTACAACTTTAACCACATTCACTGAATTTGGACATATCAGGGAGTTGTTTTTTCTCAAATCTTACTGCTTTCCGTTCTGTAGAGCGTACTTGCCATCTGGAGTGAAACAGAAAACCCATAGCAGCTGGTTGCTGGCTATGTAACCAAAAGAAAAGAAATTTGTAAGTAATTGTCTGAAATCTGTTAACTGGAGAGAATAAATGGATAATGAAGAATACAGAAAGGTAAGTGATTGTTGAAGCTTGTAAATGTATAGGAAGTGTCAAGTGATAGAACATAACATTGCACTGAAGGAGGAGCTGCATGACAAAGCTTTTTTGAGAAACTTTGTACCTTTAGCCATTCACAGAAGTAAGAATAATTTTGTGTAGAGTACAGAAATGCTCCAGAGCTCTCCACTTATGCTGCACAGTTCAGTCCCACCTGAATTCTGTTTGACACAGTTCAACCATGGAGACCTAATACTTGGTGTTTCTAAGTCATGAAGCACATTGCAGGTCTCTTGAGGAACAGCTGCTTAAAAAAAAGGAAAAATATAGATAACCCAGGTCTAGAAAAGTATTGTGTTCTATGCTTAATATTTGGGTGATCATCAGATAAAAGGCTTTTTATTCAGAAACGTTAGAGATTGTGCTACTTCTGTCTACTTAAAAATTGAGAGAAAACAAAAAACAGAACAACCTATTGTTATGTAACATCATGCAAGTAAGTTAGAAATGGGCAAATAATAATTGCTGCAAAAGATGTGAATAAACATTGTTTGAGTCCTGTCCTAAGCTGCCTTAGCTGACTCATAAAACACAATTGAAACTGTGGAATTGATTATTTGCTGCATATTTAGGTAACATTAACAGAATAACTGGTCACAAAAATTCCTTTTGCTAATGATTTTTATATCACTTGGTGTAGCTGTGTCTGTATCTTACTATGCCTTGTGCTTTAGGACATCCTGGATGTACCAAAGAAATGCTGACAAATCAGATCATTCAGCTGTAAAGTTCTCCTTCTGATCCTTGGTTCTCTGTTATGGCTCACATTATCACAGCTAATTCAAGCTCTCACATTTTTGTAGAAGGGAGTAAGAAATATTGCTTAAATTATATAATCCAAAGAAAGCAGGAAAGGAAAATTAGCATGGGATAAAGCAGAATCTAAGGCACACAACCACAACTGCTAATTATTTCTGTATAAATAGCAGGTAGGCATGGGCTAAGGTAGACCTCACAAGGTAACTGTGAGGACAGCTACTTAATTGTTATTAAATGAATAAAAAATTTTTAAAGTAAAGACGTATTTGCCAAAGCCCAGCAGCTTTTTTTTTTTCCTTCTCCAACCCTTTTCAGGTAAGAAGAGAAAGGAAAACACCATCCAAGTGAAATAGTCCCATCATATCTGTAATACAAAGAGAGAAAAGAGGATTTTTATAGTTTTCCATTTAAAAGCATTTTTATGGATTAGAGTACCAGCAGATCTCTTGTTCACTGTGTTGTGTGCCAAAAGCTTATGCAGTCAGTACCAAATAACTAACAGAATATAATTTCAATGTGTGCTATTGAATGTGAATAAGTGTGCATTGAGGACAGCTCAAAACTAAATTTCACCAATGTTAATAAGAGCTTATAGAATATAGAAATAGAAACAATACTAGAAAAAGGAACTTATTTCTAGGATAAGAAGTCTTGAAAGGAGACAGTGCTGGAAATGCAGCATTTTCCTCTTTTCCTTTCATTAATCTCACAAAAACATTGTATGTGGTAAGTTGCTGTGTTCTTTGCAGCTTCACAGAAAATCCTTATCTGTTTAAGTCATTTGCAGTGTACTTCAGAACTACTTCATATAAGTACCAAATTAAGCTCAACAGACTGCTACTTTTCATGGGATGACTCAAAGAATCCATCTTGTAACTAGTCTTGTTCACGCTGTTCAGTACAATGGGGTACCTGATTGCTGTGACCTTCAAATGAGCATTTGGATTTTTGAAATTCATGAGTGTCACTTATTCTCTCCAAATAGTCTAAAAAAGCTAAATAGATAAGTTAAGAATTCTTTATTATAGCCACACATAGGGTTTCCCCTCCAATTTCTAATTTACAAGTGCTGGAACAGAAATTTATTCTTCTCCAGACAGCTTTTAATTTGGCTGTCAGATGAAAAATTAGGGCTGCTAGAGGGAACAACAAAAAAAGAGTGTCTGCTGACCCTCTAAACTGAACTTCTTTTCTGAAAGCTGCTTGTTTTTTGGTATGTGCTGAGTAATAATGAATGCCTAGAGATGGACCCAGAAAAAAAAAGGTATTCCCGACATGCACTTTCAAGAAAACAGTAGTCTGGCATTAGGCTCTCCACCAGGTGCATTAAGGTTTTGAGCTTCATTTGTCCTGCAGGATAACTCTTTGGGAGCTGGACAGAAGATAAATCTGTGAACTGGAGTTCTGCTATGGAAACAACAGCTTTCCCCTCTCTGGAGGACACTGTGCAATGTTCAGACTTTGTGTTCACCAAGGTGTTACTGACTAAAGTCCAGCTGTGAGAGACCAGAGAAATTGTCCATTTGAACTGAACGTAAGCGCTCAGCTCCTGAGCAGAGAGGTCAAACGAGTCAACAGGAGGCAGGGTTACTGCCAGAGAGGCTTCAGAGCTGTAAATGTGCTCCTGATCCCTTGCAACACAGCACAAGACTCTTCAAGATGCCAACCAAGTGTAATGGTGCAAGCAGCCTGGCTTTTTGAGGGAATACAAGGGTCTATCCAAACTCTTTGGCTGGAAAATCATTCAGGTCAAAGGATGCACCCAGCAGCAGGAATGCCTTGGCCCACAGACTGTGGTAGCATAGGTTATTTACTGCCTGTGTACTCACCACACCTTGATTCACCATTGCCTCAAAATGCTCTCATCCTTAGCTATAAGAATTTTCCTCTAGTGACATCAAGATTTATATTAACTATTCTATTAATTAATTATATATTAATTAATTAATATCTATTATATTAATTAATTTTAAACTTGCATCAAATTGTAAATAATAAGCTTTTGACTACTTGAGTCAGAGGTGAACGTATTAAAACCACATTTGCATACAATCCAACTAGGATTAAAATTTTATTCTCCCTTATGAAATCTCCACAGAAAGTTCAAGACTGGGAGGGAAATGTGAAAATTAGATGTGAAATTACACAAGGTCCTCTGGTAGTTGTGTGTGTGACTTTTTGTGAGAGTTTAGTGATGTGAATTATCTTTCATTTTTTCTCTTCAGAACAACTCTGCATGTGCTTATTTTAATATGGTAATTGGCAATGTAAATAATAGACTTAAACTGACAGTGAATGTAAATGTGTGCTAAGATCAAACTATGCAAGACTGAAGTTTGTTTTTATGTGGCTAGTTGTCTGCAGCAAAGAGACAGTAGGAGGTGATTCAATAGCATCAGTGTTTTGAAGTTTTGTAGCCAAATCTGCCAAAATTACTTCTGTCTGAGACCCAGGTCCTGTAAGTACCACTTTCTGTTAGTCCTGAGACAGTACTTTTATACCTTAGATTTTTTCCCTGAGTTTGCAGCTAAAAGCAACTTAAGTTTTGATGAGCTCTGTGTATCTAATAGAATAAGACTAAAATTCTCCAATTATGTGTATGTGAATATATTGTATTATGAGTATGAAAGATGCCCACCATTGTTCAAACAGGAGAAGAAGTTAGACTCTCTGCCTTCAAGTGCTTATAATCTTTGGACCTTATCCCTCCTGAAGCAGAGTTCTTCAGTTGCCTGTAAAAGGTGCAGGACTCAATTCCAAATCATACTAAAAAGCATTAAGGCCCTATTAAATAAATGTACTTTTGCTAAGGAGCTGAAGAAAAAGCCACCAGACTAACTTATTCCATATAACCAAGAGAGTGATTAAATGTTCCAAATATGCAGAAGTCAAATGTCCCATTTCTGCTTTAAATCTTTTCCTTTTATAGGCTGCGGGTTAAACTCCCTGCTTTGAAAACCTGTGCTGTTTAGGAACAAGAATTTATTTACAGTTTTAAAAACTTGCAACTAATCTTGGATGAATAGTCTGAATTAACCTTTGGCAGAGAAGTTGTAATTTCTAAGCCAACACATAACTGTATTTTGCATTAGTTTAGGAATATTGGGTACTTTGAGGGGTTAAGAATGAAATATTTTCCATGATTCATATCTCTTTTAGCTTGAAAAGTCAACAGCTCAATTCCAGTGTAGCCAAAAGGGGTTTTCAGTCCAAAATGTCTCATTGCTTGCAATTAATTTGGGCTCTTGCAATTAGGGTTTTGTGTCCCAATGCATTAATGCATGAAAGCAGCTGCACAATGAGTAGTGCCACATGTTTGAACTAAAAATAATCTGTGTACATTGTTGCTGTGCAAACAGTTGTACATTTTGGTCACTGAAGATAATCTCTGTATTGGAACAGCAGAGATGTACATAAGATGCAAGTTGTACAACTGGGAGGGGATAATTGTGTGTGCCTGCTTGTGCCACTTACCAACACCCTGTCCCTTTTTGGCTTAGCAAGCATGCTGAATCCTGTTTAAATCCATGGTAAAAACTTTTAGTGATAAATATACTTAGGCAAATGGAAACCACTTTATTTTCCATGAAATAAGGATTTTGGAGCTTAGACAACTGACATTGTGCTTCAGGGAGGGGGGGAAAAAAAGCTGTGCTAGTTTAGAATTAATTCTGTCTTGCAGATGTATCCATGGGAGAGGGTAAAAAGCCCCCTCAGCTGAAAATGGCATGCTTTCCAACTTCCTGAGCTCAATCCTTCTTCCACCATGCTGGTTTTGGCTGGGGTAGAGTTAAATTTCTTCATGGTGTCTAGTACAGGGCTATGTTTTGGATTTGTGCTGAACACAGGGTTGATAATACAGAGATGTTTTTTGTTATTGCTGAGCAGGGCTTAGGCAGAGCCAATGCCTTTCCTCTATTTGTGCTGCCAGGATGGCAAAGATATTGGGGGAGCATCAGAGGTTTGGAGGGGACACAGCCAGGACAGGTGACCACAACACACCAAAGGGGTATTCCAGACTGTATAGCATCATGCCTAGTATGTAAAGTGAAGGGGAGAAGGAGGAAGGGGGGGACATTTGGAATGATGGCATTTGTCTTCACAAGTAGCCACTACGTGTGATGGGACCCTGCTGGAGATGGCTGAACACCTGCCTGCCCATGGGAAGCAGTGAATTGATTCCATGGTTTGCTTTGCTTGTGTATGTTGCTTTTGTTTTCCCTATGAAACTCTCTATCTTAACCTACTAGTTCTCTGGCTTTTATCCTTTCAATTCCCTCTCCAGTCCTGCTGGTTGGGGGTGAGTGAGTAGCTGGGTGGTGCCTGATTGCTGACTGGGGTTAACCACAACATCTGCTTACTGGTCAGAGTCTCATGGCACCATTGAAGAGTCTTTGCCTTTCAAGAAACTCCAGCAAATTTATTCTGATCCCCATCCTCTTAACATTCGTGAGTGGCTTGCCAGTAAGTGACTCATTTATCCAAACTAAGAGTAACCTTTGGGTCTCAAAAGCACTTGCTTCTACTTCCAGCCTTGCACCTTAATCTCTGCTCCCCATTTCAATGTAAATTATACAGAGGAATAGATTATGTCTAACTTTTTTTTCTCTTTTGTTGCAGTTCTGAAGCCCACATCTTACACTATGTACACTGGTGGGTGTCCAGTGCAATACTGCACTAGACCAGAGCCTGGGACTCACAGGTGCTAGAAACTACTGGCAAAGTGCACCATAATGAAAGAAACTGTACCATATTCCATTAGAGGATAACAGGACTGCCAGCTATTGCTGCTTTGTTGGTAATAACATCTTAGGCATGTTGTCTTTGTTTTCCAAGCTTCAGTAAAGTGCAATGTGCTTGACTGCCAACAGCCATTACTGACAGACTTTGGCTGCTGCCTTTCAGCATGCAGCCCTGTCTCCAGTCAAACAGCTTGGATTATAAATTTCCAGTGGAAATTATGAAACTCCATTCCTGCAAGTAAATCATGACCTTATTTGATGGGATGCATTTGCAGGTGGCTGTTGGTCACCAAGCAAAATCTGAACCGTCTGTGTGTGCCCTGTCTGAGCACAAAAGAATGGCAATATTGGTGAAAAAACATGCCCAGTTATAGTAATAGCACATAATTTCTAACACAGAATAATATAATTATGGCTTATATAAAGTAGGTGGTTTTAACCATTTACCTGTCATTAGACAAATATCTAATGTTTTTAATAGTTTTCTTATGTCTGTTAAGTTAGGTTAATGACAATGTTTTATCAAGCTGATAGATGCACTTTCTTTCTTCCAAAAAGGCAGCGTCAACTGAATACTGACAGTGGAGAAAGAGGGGCTGGGATCCTGCAGCTGAGCACACAAGAAATGCAGCAGAGAAACAGAGAAGTGTTTAGTTTCCCATTCAGAAGGAGTCAAGAGAGGAAGTTTTTAAGTCCAGAGTGTTAGCTATAAAGAGACTTTGATTTGTGGATAAAGAAACTCATTGTTATTGCATCTGTTCCTGAGAGAATGGGAAACAAAAATGGATATATTCCCTCTAATTAGAATTACAGCTAAACCTGGTTATTAACTACTTGTAAAGGTAAAAAACTTGAGTATTGAGGCTAGAAAGAATAATGGGATTTGAGTACATCATTCTCTTATTTCAGATATGTTCTCTACTTTTAACCCTTTGTTCATTTGTTCCTTTAATTTTTTTCATCTTTTTTTTTCCCTTTTGAGTGTGAGACAAGAGTAATGTGTGCCTGTGGAAGGACTTACATTGTACAAGGGTTTCCACTCCATGTTGGCAGATGAGTAGATGTGGTTCTGGCATCTCATTTGTGCTCATTTGGGTTTGTTTACTGACAGCAAACAAACAAAAGAATAAACAAAAAGCTGTGAGATAGCAATTTTTTTATTTGTACTTTTGCCAAGTACTTGTGTACTCTCTCTGTGCCAGGATTTTCAGTAATGATGACATTAAACTATACTCTCTTCTCCCTTTGGCCATAACAACTAAGCTCATTTATTTTTATTTAAATTGGCTATTTTAGAAATGTTCTTATCAGTTAAACCAGCTTCTCTTTTCTAGAATAATAACATGGTTGTGTGATTAAATCAAAATTTCATACTGCAGAAAAGATCTTGCAATGCAGAGCTAGAGAAAATTAGGTATAGATTTTATAATGTATAAAAGATTTCTCTGTTTCTCCCTCTCTTTACCATAATGGTTTGTTTAGACAAATTTCAAGGTAGGTTTGGCCCTAGAAATGTCAAGGTTCTGAACTCTGGATTTCTTTTTCTTTTGAGAGGCTTAAAGATGTTATACATCCAGCATTCCTTTACATGAGTTTTGTTCTCAAACTTTGATTTACAGACCAGAGAAAAGGAACTCAATTATTTGTAAACAAAGGAAAAAAATAAAAGGATTCCTCAAGAATATCTAGAATTGCAGGTTGTGTGCCTTCCAAAAATATAAGTGGTAGCTTATTAACCCATGAGGATTTCTGTGTTGATTTATGTAGTAGTTTTGAGAACAAGCCCTAAGATTCAAAGCTCACCTTCATGACCATGTACACTGTGGGGAGTACTCAGGAGGGTTTCATGATGGAAATGGAATCCAAACATTTACAAATTGTCTGTTTCAAAACAGACACCTAAATGTGTCCAGATAATAAACTGTCAGCTTTTTTTTTTTTTTAATCTAGTCCTTCACTTAGTTCTTGGTGTCTCTTTTTCATCAGAATCCACATCCTAGAACCTTCTCTTTGTAGATTGTGGAAAGAATGGAAATCTCTTTTGAATATAATAACTTCCTTGACTAGGCTGCCTGCCCAGCATGTGCAGCACACAGGGAATTTTCCTTCTCTCCTTGAAGAGATACAGAATCAGAAGGA